TTCTTGCCTGCCTTTGTTTCTCTCCCATATTCACTGTAGGACTGGATTTACAGATGAGCTAGGAAGTGGGCGTGGGCAAGTCTTGACTGATGTTGCTGTTTTCTTTGGTACTCTTGGGGCAGGAAAGTGCTGGCTTTCTGGTGAGGTTGGGGACCTTGCAGGGGCCAGCCAGCCCAGAGCTGTTTATGGTCCATAGTCCTGCTTGCCTTACAGTCCCAAGTCTTATTTCCCAAACTGTCAGAACACGAGGGCATTAGAGTTGAGTGATAGATCTACTTTCTCTCCCCATACACACCGCACCCCACCCCGGCAGCTCCCAGTTTCCAAGGAGGTGGTCCAGGATCCCAACCTGGACCCAGAGCCTCCTTCCCAGACCCTTGAAACTGCTTCCTGTCTAGCACTAACTCTGCTAGGCATATATGTTTGTTCCAGGTACAGGACCCATCCCATGGTTCAGCCATGGGGCTGGGGCTGGCCATAGCAGCTGTCCACTTGTCAACCAGTCAAGGCTGTGGGTGCCCAGTGCTGGGCACTGACAGACCCCAGCAGGCTCAGGATGGTCCTCTCTGTCTGCAGGATGTGGGGGTTGAGACCGGGGGCAGACTGTGGGTGCTGCTCTTGGAGCTGAAGAGGCCAGAGCTCTGGAGTGAGCCTACCCATCACGGATGACTTTGGCCACAGATTGTTACCGGGGTACTTACTCTTCTTGTAGTCCTATATATGGGTTCCCAGGGTGAAGTCCCCTGGGCCCCGTGGCTAGAGTTGTCCCAGCACCAAGGCTCAGGTGGCCTCACAGCTGTGAATGAGAGGCATGGGGGAGGTGGATGGCACCAGATGCTCTGCCCGGGCCTGGACTGCCTGGAAGGGCAAGGATGAAAATGCTGTGTGGACTGCTAACCCCCTGAGCCAAGAAGTTGCTGAGTCAGCAACAGTGGACTGGGTGGGGGAGGGGCCTCTAGGGCCCTTGGTTCCAAAGCCTCTAACTGTGCCACCCAATAAGTGACACGGGGTTCCTCTTTGTCACTCTCTTCTATCTCACCCCATTTGTTTCTGTTCTAGGCACTAGGTATGTAGCCCACCCCTATCACCCACCCTTTACCCCACCCCGCCACCACCCAAACTACCTCAGGAGACTTATGCATTGACCTCCTGGCTGCACCTGAGTTCCCCCACTGAACCCTGTCTCAAGCAGGACTTGTACTCCCATCTGTCCAGGGACCCTGATGTTGTCTGCCACTCTCAGGGTAGGGTCAGAGCCCATGATGGCAGGGTGGCCAGTGCTGAGTGGCACTCACTATCACCGTTGAAGGCTGTTTCCTCCCAGACTCCCTGTGAACTGGCTGGGGTGGGTCTTCCTCTTCTCTCTGGTTATGGTAAAGCCAGCAGCTCCCCATGGAACATCTGCCCGTGGCTGCTCTGAACTGGGCACACATTGGTTGATTAATGGGGTTGGGCAGGTCTTGCCCTTCTTCCTAGGTTTGTAACTTGCAGCCTCTCTGGTACTTCCTGCCTTGGTGGGGGAACAGGTGTGTGAGCAGAGCGTTGGAGGTTTCTGTGGCCTCTGTCTACTACAGATGTTTCACATCTGCTAGCATAAGCTTGTGTACTTACAGAACCAGCCTAGAGAGACGTAAGGGTTGCTGGCTGGCCTTGGACAGATGGGGCTGCCAGGGGATGATGGTTACCAGGGACCACCAGCACCTGGGCCAGCTCTAGTCTGAGGTTGTGTCAACCTGAGTCAGAGAATCCTTTCTGATGAACACAGCATGCCTCTGGGGGCCAGTGAAGCCTACAGTTATGGCTTCGTTAGTGGCTAGGGGTGAGGATGGCAGGTTTGGAGGCCATTCAGGGGTGGTACCTAATGGGTCTGGAGTCCTCCAGGGTCCATTATAGTAAGAGACCTTGAGTCTTCCTCTCACATGACCCCTTCCGTTGTAGTGCTGCTTTTCTGTGACTGTGCAGGAAGAGGTGCAGGGTTGAAAAGGGAAGCCCATACCCCCCTCCATGGTTTTGTTTGTGTTGAAAGCCCCAGTGTCATGAAAAGCTCAGACCGTGGCAGCTGTGACCAGGCCCTCTGTGGGCTCATTCTTAGCTGCCACATGTGGAGATTTGGAGGTTTCCCTTGTGCTCCATTTGTATAAAGAATGAGTGCCGAGTGGACACCCCTGTGTGCAAATATTTCACATAGCTTTGGTTTCCTTTGGAAGTTCGTCAGCATAGAATATCTGAATGCTCTGCAGCCCCGCAGAGTATCCGTGGGGACACCCATGCTTCGTGCAGTCTAGCCTGTGCCAACTGCCACCTCACCAGGATCACAATTGTGGTTTTAAAGTATTCTTGGGCTAGGAATGTAGCTCAGTTGGTAGAGTGCTCGCCTAACATGCAGGAGACCCTAGGTTCTAGCCCCGGTACCACACTGAACCAGATATGGAGGTGTAGCCCTCTACCTCCAGCACTCCAGGGTGTGGGAGCAAGGGGATCAGAAGGTCACTGTCATCCTTGGCTATATAGTGAGTTCCAGCTACATGGACTACATGAGACCAGGTCTCAAAAACAACAGTAACAACAAAGTTTTCCTTCCTTCCTTTCTTTCTTTCTTTCTTTCTTTCTTTCTTTTTCATTTGAAAGCTAGGCCACTCTAATTTAAAAAAAAACCTATTGCAAGCGCGCGTGTGTGCGTGTGCGTGCGCGCACGCCTGCCATAGGCATGCATCAGAGGTCAGAGAACAACTTGTGGAAGTGAGTTCTCTCCTTCCACCACATGGGTCTAGGGGATTAGGTTTTATGACAGGCATCTTTTACCTATTGACCTATCCATCTTTCTGGTTCCCCAAAGTGTGTGTTTGTTTGGGTTTTTTGTTTGTTTGAGCAAAAGATACATATATACACACAAACACAAAGCCCTGCTCTAATACCATTTAGGTGGCATGGCCTTGTAAGGAACAGGACATGGCTGTGTCCTGTCACCCCAGTTGCCTCCCCACCTGCTTCGAGATGTCTGCAGCAGGTATCAGAGGACAGACTGGGTGCTGTGGGGTAGCACTTGTCCCTGAGCTGTTGGTGGTGATCTCAGTTTGCCCTGTGCCTTGCTGGGAGTTCCGATGTGATGTTCTTGAGGCTCTGTCTGAGCCTTTAAGAGGGGAGCCTAGGGGAGTTGGTTATTTGAGGAAACCTTCTTGAGGGAAGGAGGTCCATCCCACTTAGTTCCTGAAAGACAGAATCTGGGCCTTTCCATGGTTGCTCTGTGGCTTCCACTCCATGTGATCTCTCCTGTACACTGTCCCATCCTGATGTCATCTTGGCACCACAAGGCCCTCGCTAAATCTGAGCTGCTGCTGGCATCATGTCCTTGAACCTCTAAGAACCAAGTTAGTCAGCTTTGCTTTGGAAAGCACCGAGCCTCGGGGATTTCATTACAACAGTGGGAAAAGGATGAGATAGCCCTCAACACCCCCATAAAGCAGGAGTATAAAGACTGGCCTGTTTAAACTCACCAGCGTCTAAGCCTGGAAGGCCTGGGGCAGCATTGGGACATCTGACCATCTGCAGCCCAGTGCCTCAAGCGGCTCGCTGTCTCCTGCCCCAAGGGGAATGATTGTCCCCAGGTAAGACAGGCAGCCATAGATTCAGGCCATACGGGCTTTCCAGAAATGTACAATTTTACATGAAACCTGAGTCATCAGGCTTACTAGAAACCATCCGACAGCCTTCACCCATAGCTGCAGGGCAGGAATCAAGCCATGTTCTCTTGGCTCTGAAAGGGAAAACTAGCAAGGTTTGTTGACTGACCGTCCAGAGCAGCACAGGGCAGCTTTGAGTAGCCTCTCCTGCATGGCTGGACTGTTCTCCAGTGGTTCCTCAGTCCTAGACTTCTCACTCCGCCACCTATCCTGGGAAGGGTAGGCAGGGTAAGAGGCAGTGATGTGGGAACATGGCTAACCCGTCTCTGTCTGTCTGGCACTCTACACACAGTAAGGAAGGTGCCTTTCCACCTGTCCTCTCTTGCCCCAATGCAAAGGACTTGAGAGATGTTTCCAGGGCAGACATGAAGCCACAGAGAGAGGAGGAAGGGGCCATCACCAGGGCT